ACTCCAGGCCATCAAATTAAATCATTTGTTTAAAAATGGAATATTTTGACAACATTTCAATAAATAATATAAAATAAAATAAAGCTTTCAAATCCAGGAATATTTAAACAATTCAGCGTTTGAACAAGAACGTGTTAAAACTAACCAGGACTGGAAAACTTATTTTTAGACGAGGAGTCGGTCCCCAGCTGCTGGGCAAGCTGCAAAAGCTCCGCCTCCTGAAGCTCCGCCTCTCGAAACGCCACCTCTGGAAGCTCCGCCTCTCGAAGCACCACCTCTGGAAGCTCCGTCCCCTGAAGCTCGTGACTTGCTGGACTTGCTCCCCACATCTTCCTAGGAGCTTCTGCTTGTAGTTCACCCATCTGTATGACCTCACCTGCTGTTTGATCTGTGGTGATTAGGGATGCAAACAGTTAATCCACTTATGATTAATTGTCGAATAATGGTTTATTAGATTAAAATTCCTTCCATTCGATTCATTGAAAACATTTGTTTAAACCTTATTTCGGTATAGTTTTTCCTTCATCCAGTAGAGGGCGCCCAAGTTTGATAATGTGAGCAAAATTCATAATTTTCTGTTTATTCAGTCACTGTTTAACACAGCTGGCAGAATAAATTGTTAAAATAATACTGCATTTTTTATTTAGCATGTAAAAAATTAGCCCTTCATGTTATAGAAAGACTCAATTCAAGAGAAATGTCAGGTTTTTAAGAAAATGGCTGCTTATCAATGAATCGTTAGTCGATCGATAAGATCAGTCAACTTTAGATTAATTCAATAATCGAAAACTTGTATCCCTAGTGGTGATACACACATATGCAGCGACTATGTGCTCCTAATGTCACTCAGGTTAGACACTTACTGATGGTAGTGACGCATGTTTCCTCTAAGGTTTGTTGGCCAACAGAGAGAATGAGAGGAATGCCAGCCTCCCACTTCCTCCTGTCCCCACCAGAGGATGGCCTGTCCTCAGGAAATGCTGAAAAAGGTAATAAGAGACTGTTGAACAGAAAGTAAGCATAACTAAAACAAAACTTAAAAATATTGTTAATATTGTTAGACCCAACATCATGTAATCTGTTGGAGCTCAGAGTGACTCAAACTTTAGCTCATTATCTGCAATCACTTATTTTTCTGTTTCATAAGGTCACTCATCTTTTGCAGCCATCTTGAATTGGGTTGATACCACAGGTTGTAAATGTTCACCCAATGATTACTTTCTAAAGTGTTCATTAACATCCATCTGCTGGTTCATGAGGTACAAAATAACAAACAAATACACACACACAAACTAGAAGATTATTAACTGCTATAGATGATGAGTGATAAAAAGCGGATTCCTTGCATGTAATAATAAACTGCACTACAGATGATCCATAAACGCCTGATGGAGAATGACACATGAAACGGTAAAAACAGAGTTAACTTATCTCGTAAAACGTCTCAACTCATTGTTAGATATTTTAGAAAATCACATATTTCAAAATTTAATAAGATTAAAACAATCCTATGCTGGAGACAATGTGGACAAGTTGGAGATCACACTCATATCTTTTGGGATTACCCAAAGATTAAAACATTCTGGGAAAGAATTAAAAGAGAAAATTTTTAATATTTTACACATTTATATTGAATGGAACCTCCTTGGTTTTGTATTGGGATATATATATATATGCCTTCTGTTGAGGAAGCTGAGCCTGGGGACTTTGGGTTGGGCTCTCCAATCTCTGGGGACGAGGTCACTGAGGTGGTCAAAAAGCTCCTCGGTGGCAGGGCCCCGGGGGTGGATGAGATCCGCCCGGAGTTCCTCAAGGCTCTGGAGTTTTTGTCCATTAGAAGGCCCATCAGAGGACTGAGAGTCCAAGATAGTTCCTTGATAATTTGACTGGAGGTGACCCTTACATGTCCCCCCTTTTGCAAGTTATCACCCCCAAATGGTGATTAGTTGCAACAAAAACGGTAACATCTCAAAAGTCCCTGATCTTGAAGGGTTGTGTTGGCTCACGCGGCTCTGCAATATCGCATGGACATCGGGGGCAGTACCCCTGGATTGGCAGACTGGGGTGGTG